GAAAATTATTTTGGGGGAAATCCCCCATCTCCCCCCCCCCTCCCACTGGCGCCACCACTGCTCGTGTAGGTGCAAAAACAAAAAAATTGCAAATTTTAGCAATGAGGCAGGTAGTCAATATAAATATTTGTAAATGATTTGTATAAAAAAAGTACTATACATCATAACAATCATGGCAACTATTCTCTTTTTTTTTTCAGTCTCAATGATACTTGTTTATTGCAAAGGAATGTGTTGGTACCTGTCATAGTACCATGCTTTAAACAAGCCCTTATAAACATGAAGATTCTCTCCTGATTATATCTTGTTTTTTTTATTTTTATGTTTTATGATGCATGATTTTGCAATGCAATTTGGATGAATGAAGATGCATGATCTAAAATAAAACCTGCCCTCGATTGATCAGTGCTCCTTAATTTGATGTACAATGTTTACGCATACTGTAATGCGAGATGATAAATAGCGCGTTTCAGATTTTCTTGACAGTCAACACCTTTCAATATTTATGATCGTAAATCATTTCAAAACTGTGCTAGTATAGTTAGTACTGATTGATGTCTACTATACACATTCATATCTGAAATGAAAGAAAATTCCTGAAACATACACAAGGAAAATTTTCATGAAACTGAGAGAACTGAAATGCCAGGATTACAGTCTCAAATACCATGAATCTGCAGTAAAACCATGTGATGTTCAGTCACCATGTTTATCCTATATATATTTAATTTTTGAATTTCCACAACCTTTTTCCCTACCAGTGTTTAAACCTTCCAGGTAACTTCCTGTACTTCCTGTAGTATTTCTTTGATTCGGTTGTGCCTTGTGAGAATGCAGGATCAAAAGGAAGCAGCCTTAACCTCAGAGGTTGTTGCCTTTATAGTACCAACACAAAGTGTTAGTGAAAAAGAATCACCCTTTAATAAATTCACTACAAGTCCCATATGATAACCAGTGGTGGATCTAGGAATTTGAAATAGAGGGGAGCCCGGGGAGGGACCTACTGTATCACAGATGGAGGGTCTAGAGGATAAAAATAAAATTATGGCACCTCAAACTAAATGGCCAAAAATAGCTTGTTCTCAGATTTGAACATAATTTTCTTTTTTTCTCCGTTTTTTTTAAATTTTGATAATTTTTTTGGGGGGTTGGAGGAGGAGGAGAAGGGACAGCAGTCCACCTGCCCCCTCCCCGCTTTTGAATCCACCGCTGATAACCTCACATCAGTATTGCCAAATTACAATAAGAATTTTTGAAATAATGAAAGGGACCAAAACCAACACTATCAGAGCACGCTTTCTTGAATCGTAGACTAAAGTAAATTTTAGTAAACTTTAAAGAACTATCCAGGTACCAGGCAGTGGTTCTTTACCTCCCTGTGTTAGATACTACTAACCTACTAACAGTATTTGAAAAGGTATTTCATATCCAACCATGCATGCTATATTAGCTTTACCTACTGGGGTTTTTCCAGAATGTTTTGAGGTCAACTGATCTATTTTCTTCACCACCAAACCCTTAAATTTTATCTAATGCCTTGAATTTTATTTTATTAATTCTTCATGACAAAAATGAACAAAATAGTCTGAAAACCATTCTTGAAAAATTCATACAATTATTTTTTAAAATACTTTTGAATTATTTTTGAAAAAAAAAATTATTACTAGCATGTGATCTGAATTTAAAAATAGCATTAGACGAATTGCAGGCTTTATGTGTGTTTAAAGAGCAAACAACCACCATGTATTCATAACACTTTCCTTGTTGATTTAATATAAAGCAGCTTCGTAATTTATAGTCAGGTGACTTGAGTATTAAACCATATCCTGATACACTGTAATAATCACATGACATGGATACTATACTGTATGCCATGTTGTAATACTATATTTTATAGCCAGGGTACAGTGGACACACGAACATTTGATGTCAATGCACATTTTAACAGCTTAACAATATTTACCACTATATAATTATATTACCATATTTTATTTGAAATTCATGTTTTATTAACAAGGTAACTTGAGTAAGGCCCTTAATTTCAACTTTCTGAATAATAAGCCCAGGATTTAATTTCTACGATAGACTGTCAGCATTGATATTCCACCATAAAATTTTGTCATGATACCCTAGGCGTATACAGTAATACAACGCAATATTTATCGGATAACACTTTTATAACAGTGGCACACAATACCTAACAGTGTGCATCCAAAAGTAGGCAAATATATATAATCAGAAAGCAGCAAAAATATAAAATAAAATTCTTAATTAAAAAGAGATTTGTTTATTGATCATACCAAGAAAC